CACATGGAATAGATGTTGATGCCATTGAAATTCTGCAGCAGAGCGATGACATCTCAGATCACTATCTAGTCTCATGTAAACTTCACTTAGCCAAAGCAGCAAAGCCGACTCCGTGTTATAAATATGTTAGACGTATATCTTCTGCCACTAAAGATTGCTTTATCAATAATCTTCCTAATCAGTTTCATCATCTCAGCATCCCGGGTAGCTTAGAAGAACTTGATATCGTGACAGAAAGTTGCTCCGTTGCGCTAGATTAAAGAAAATAGTCCAATGCCGTGGTACAACGAGCACACTCAGGCCCTTAAGGGAGCAGCCAGAAAAAATGGAGCGTAGCTGGAAGAAAACTAAACTAGAGGTATTTCGTATTTCATGGAAGGAGAGCTCGATTGCATACAGAGAGGCCTGCTAGGCTGCTAGGCCTGCTTATTTTTCAAACCTAGAAGAAAATAAACATAATCCTAGGTATCTATTTGATACAGTGACTAAACTAACAAAATAGGAAGATTCAAGCCCAGAAGTGTCCAAGCAACACAGCAGTAATGACTTTCTGAATTTCATCACTTATAAGATTGATAATACCAGGGACAAAATTATAACTATGCAACTGTCTACTACAGTATCGCATCAGGGTGTGCATTGTTGTCTCCCAGAGGAACGATTTGGTTAATTTGCTGCTATAGGAGAGGAAGAATTTTGCAAACTCGTTAATTCATCTAAATCAACAACTTGTATGCTAGACCTATACCGACTAAACTACTGAAAGAGATGCTTCCGGAGGTCATAGAGCCTCTTCTTAATATCATTAATTTGTCTGTCACTAGGATACTACCAAAAACCTATAAGCTAGCTATGATAAAACCGCTTGTTAAAAAAAAACGCAACTTGATCCTACAGAATTAGTTCATTACAGGCCAATCTCGAATCTGCCTTTTCTGTCAAAAATACTGGAAAAAGCAGTATCCTCACAACTGTGTTTGTAGCAGTAAATGAAGAGATGTCTTATCGATCACAAGTTCGGTATGGTGTACCACAAGGCTCAGTACTAGGACCGCTGCTATTCTCTCTGTTCTAGGAGATGTCATTTGAAAACATGGAATTAGCTTTCACTGTTGTGCTGATGATACTTAGCTGTATATTTCATGGACAAATCCCGACTCATCCTTAAGTGCCGGCCTCATCGACACGACAGCCATTGGCATTGATCCTCAACTACTCGTCTTCAAACCGGCGTGATTACTTCAACTTACAAACAGATGGAAATGGACAAATTCTCTAAATGTTTCGATCCAATTTGTTTTGTAATCGAGGATAAGTTGCAAAGTCCTCCACACCACTCAACTCCAGCATCGACCTCCAATACTAAACAGAGCTGTTCTTACCACTTTAGGCCACAAAGACTTCATAGATCAGAGGGACATCACTCCCACAGAAAGGAATAGCCTACCTAAATCCTCCAGACTGGGTCTCTCAAGATACTGCAAGGCATCCACAAAGGCCATACTGGTCACTTACGCCATCACCTCCCCCTGAACCAGAACTGATGTATCGAGGTCCAACCCTCACGATTCACAACCATACAAGCCAATCTGTTGAGTTTTGAGAATAAATGGGTTATTCCCAGAAAGTAACTGCACCTTCGGTTTAGTCTCTGATCGGACAGTCTTTGGTGGGTCAACACCCTGAGCTGGCACGTCATCTTATAAGTGCTACAAAACGGAAGCTTTTTTTCAGCCAACAAAGCGCTTTACATTTGCCTCACATTCACCCATTCACTCACTCATTCATACAGTACACCGACGGCGGTGTCAGCCATGCAAGGCGCCATCCAGCTCATCGGGAGCAGCTGGGGTTGGGTCTCTTGCTCACGGACACTTCGACACTTGGTCAGGTGGAACCGGGGATTTAACCACCAACCTTCTGGTTTGTAGACAACCTACATGAACCACTGAGCCACTGTCGCCCCAAAAGGTCATTTCTACCTGGAAATGAATTAATTATCATAATAACAGTAATGAATGAAATATGGTTGCGGAAACAAAAGTTCTCACAAAATATAGCCCTTCATGATGAAATAAGATCTCTTATGGCGCTTTTCCACTGGACAGTACCAGCTCGACTCGACTCGGCTCGCCTTTGTTTGGTTTTCCATTGTGTAAAAGTTGTACTTGTACCTGCTTTCAGGTACTTGTATTTGTACCACCTCCGGGGAGGTACTGAGCGAGCTAAAGCGATACTAAAATGTGACGTGAAAACAATGCCGACTGCTGATTGGTCAGAGCAAATCGTCACCATTCACTATCCAGAATAACCCCGCTATTTTTAAATAGTTTGGCCTGAGATAGTTACTAAACTTACTATTATTATTATGGCAACTCGGAGGAACACACCGTGGTCAAACAGGGAGGTGCAGACTTTGTTTGGTGGCCGAAGAGAGGATCCGGCGAGAGATTGATAGGGCAACGAGGAATGAAAGGCGTCGCTATGACGACCAGGTACTATTTGTGGCGGTACTTTTTGCAATGGAAAACGCGAGCTGAGTCAAGCCAAGGCGAGCCGAGCCGAGTCGAGCTGGTTCTGGTAATAGAAAAGCGCCATTACTGTATTAGGCCTAATCCCTTAGTGTAATGACTCAGTGTGTCACTGTGACAGGCCTTTATTAACCCCTGGAGCATATGGATTACTTTCATAATGATTCAAATTTTCTCCATCCATTCAATCCCATTATAAAGCTTGTCAGAGCAGGACATTTTTTATTTTCACTCTGATTGTATTTGTCTTAAAGAAGAATGGCTTGTACACCTAGGATGACTTGAGGGTGAGTAAATCATGGACATTTTTATTTTTGGGTGAACTAACCCTTTAAATATGACATTCAAAAGGTTACATTAGTTTCCTTCTTATTTTGAGATTTTTAAACTGTGATCATAAACTCACATGTACACAAAAGGGATCCACTGATGGAAAGTTTGAGATCCCAAGTGCAGCTTTATTTCAATAACAAAATTAAACATAATATGGAACTCAAAACAAATACATGAACTCACCCAACAAAGGTTACAAGTAACAAAATTTGACCAAGACATATGGCAAACATGAGAGCTTAAATACACAGAATAATGACAAGAAAAGAGACACCTGTGAACAATGAACAGACGATTAACCAATGACAAGACACATAGCAGGATCACATGACAAACAGGGAATCATATGACAGACTTGGAACATGACATGAACAAACCCAAAGTGACAAAATGCTGTTAAAATGCTGCGTTTCATTCAATTTTTTGCATATTTTCCTTTCATAATTCATCCTACTGCAAACATAAGTGCTGTGGGATGAAACTAATGTGAGAGGAGCTGCAGGTGACAACCACTCAGAAGGTTATCTGTCCGGTTAACATCAGGTCAGTGTATATTATTATTTACATTTATATATTGTTTATCGTCACCACAGAGAAAAACAGGTGTTGTCTTGTTTTTAGAGTTTTCTAATGTGTTTTCAGCATTATTTGTTGTTTTGTATGTTCTTTAGACACTTGACTTCTTGAAGAGGAACATGAACAGCACTGTCTCCAAGAACCAAACATCCTATTTTGGGTTCACATGCTCAGACTCCATCCCAGGGTATTCACTTCAAATTTCTGTAATAACACTGGACATCTTTGTCCTCCTGCCCATCCAAATCTGTGTCCTCTGGCTGGGCTCAAGAAACTTTAGAATTAGGGGATGTCTGGCAGCCTCAGAAATCTTTACAATGAACCTTTCTGTACTAGAGATTTTTGTGACCATAATTTATTCTTTAAGTTTGGTTCCTTTTACTTTTATGCATCAAGAAACCATACTCCTTTTTCTGTTCTTTTCTGGAATCTACATTGTTGGACAACCCTTTATGAACAGCTTGATTTGTGTAGAGCGATACATAGCCGTGGCTCATCCAGCGATGTACCGCAAC